GAGATGGGGGATTCATCTTCTGCAGACAAAGAGAAATCCCGCTGGCAGAGATGGCTGGCCCAATTTACACATGCCCCGGAACCCGCTGGTCCACTTACCACGCAGTGCATATGGCCGACATCAACAGCAACATACCAATCACAGCAGTAGCCCAACTGCCACAACCCCGCCTCCCTGCTTGGCCAGTCACTCCAGCTAGGGGGTGGAATGACGAGTCTCCCCGCTCAGCTGCTGAGTGGCCGGCTGCATGAGCAACTCCTATATAGTCAAAACCTTTAATTTTGTCTACAGCTGCACAAAATTTCACCACATTAAACAACATACTTATATTCTGTCCTGCAAGGACGTCCAGGCAATAACTTTGAGGAAGGTTCAATAAAAGTTTCTGAATATCAAGACAAAAGGGGCAATGCCAAAGAACAGAAGTTGTTGTTTCGATTCCTCCAGAATTACAAGGACATTTGCCTTGGCACTATGGGATCTTTTTAAACTTCGCCTCCTGGACTGGTGATGGCAGAGCATTTAGTCAGGCAAGAGTGAAAGCTCTCCAGTGCTTTTGTATTGAAAGTAAATAAAACAATTGACTGGTTTGAAAAGCAGCAACACTGTATCAGTTAGAATTGGTAATCGTCTTGCAATATTACAGGGGTCAGGCAAATTGGCTTTAAAAAAACCAACTAAAGATAACTAGCCAAATATAATTTCAACCTTCAGTTCTCTCACCTCCAACTGCTGAGCTGCATTTGAAACCTGGTGGGTACTTGAAGGATATCTCTCAAAAATCTTATTTGAGCTACTACTAAGCAAGTAAAGGGAGAATAAGGATCCAATTGTGCACAATAAAGAAGGTGACTAAAAGATTTGGCCTGGAACAAGCCTCTCAGGAGACACTGGGGCAGTTTCCTTTTTATACAGAAAGTAGGTCTGAAACAGCTTCAAAGACAGAGCCTGTTCCAGGTGAGTGAAATGTGTATGTCTGTAGGCATGGATCTGTGGGCAGACACTTCCAGAATTCTGCCTGGGGTTATTCTGGGAGAATTCTTAGAATCTTAGAACTGCAGAGCTGGAAGCGATCTTAGGGAACAACAAAGTCCAGCCCCTGCCAAGGAGGCACAGTGGGGGAATCAAACTCCCAACCTCTGGGCCCACAGCCAGAAACCTAAACCACTCTACTGGGAATTCAAGGTGGGTAAATTGAGTACCTAACTTGTTGCTGTTTGTGTGTCTCTGTGTTTGTGCAATGTTTAGCCTGCATAATTGAATTGTAAATAGCCCAGCAAGTGCTTTTTGCTATGAAGCAGTATATAAGCAGCATGCCTTTTGCTTACATGCCCAACTGGTGCCAATGCTGCCTAAATCTGTCTGTTCACCCCACCATTTCATAACTGGAGAGATGATGGTTTGACCTTCAAAAACAATTTGCTGTTTTTTTGAATCCTTTTAAGGAGAAAGGCAAGGTCAAAATACTTTAAATAAATAAATAAATAAATAAATGTGTGCAATGTTCCCTCTAATCTTCCAGAGTGCCACATGGGAGCTCCGCCCCTTGCATGCGGGGTTCAGCAACAAATGGAAGCAAATGGGTGTTAACACTCGCTCGACTGTGCGCACCTGATGTTACAAGGCACAGGGTGGTGGGTGGCTCCCATACTATAACTTCTATCCTATGAACAAGTTCTCTCAGAAATAGACCAGAGCTACAGAAGACAGGAGAGCCTGGCGTGCTCTGGTCCATGGGGTCACAAAGAGTTGGACACAACTAAACAACTAAACAACAACAACACCATACTGTAAAATATATGCTTGTTGAAAATCTATCAAACATCAGAACTACACAAGCTTATGCATTTTTATTATGAAAAGAAAAAAGCTTAAGCAAATAGTAAGAAACATAGTAATATCTTTTTTACATTCACACACATCAAATAATTGTTTCATGACACACCCAAGATGAAAAATGCACATTTGTCTGCCCCTTGTACTTACACTTCCTTTGGACACAGCGGAAGGGGCTGCCACTCAAGACAGAGGGGGGAAATCCAGACACACAAGGACTTATCCTGCACAGCTCCCCCAACCTCTTTGCTAGTCTAGGCACTAGCCACACACCAGTCACACATTTCTTAGTCACGCAAAGAGGTTGTGCATATTCGCAAGCATAGCATGTAGAGCTCTTCAGTATGGAAGAGGACAAAGCCACCGAGCCAATGGCTGACAGGAAGGGAGCTATGCAGCACCATCACATGACAACTTCACATTCTGCATGCATACATCTGAGTGAACCCCATACCATCTCTTTTGGAAGTCACCAACATGGGTAGCCTTTGTGGTCTCTAGAAGCAATACAGTGGGGTCTTGACTTGAGAAGTTAATCCGTATTGGAAGGCGGTTCTCAAGTCAAAAAATTCTCAGGTCAAATCTGCATTTTTCATAGGAATGCATTGAAAACCATTTGATCCGTATCTGCTCTTTTCCGTCCATAGAAACTAATGGGAAGCTGCTATTCTGCCTTCTGCCACTAGAGGGGGATATTTTGTTTCTTTTTTTCTTAGGTCAAGAAAGGTTAAGGGAAGGCAGGGAAAATACAGTCCAGGCAGTACAGTACCAGGCAGTCCGAAGACTGTCTCCCAATCCACTCTCTAAACGCTGGGAGGAGTGAGGAAGCAGACAGGCACCCTTTTCACTGGCCAACAGTTAACTGAAAGTTCACATTTTGCACTTTCCCTGCCTCCCACGTGGTTTTTTTCAGTTCTTAACTCAAATCTAAGTATGTAAGTCAAGTCAATATTTTCCTATGAGAGTGGTTCTTAAGTCAAAATGTTCTTAACTCGGGCCGTTCTTAAGTCAAGACCCCACTGTCATGGTCTCTAGAAGCAATACAGTAATGGCCAATTATCAGCATGTTATCACTGCTTTAGAGAATCAAGCAAAATACAGGCAACATTTTAACAGTCAACTTGATTTAATGAAAATGTATTTATTTTTTATTTCTATTCCTATATTGCCCCATTACTGTTGCCATTAACTACTTGTCACTGTTATGGAATGAGAATATACAAAGCAATTTCCAAAATGCAGAAACTGCATGAGCCCCGTATATTTCCAAAGGTCTGATAAGGAACATAATAGAGCAATCTTAATTTTACTGGAAATAGCAGGAGTCTTCTAATATAAGTCCACGTCAGTGCTAGCATAAATCCACGAGTCCAATTTGTGGCTGAATCCCCATGAATAAGCTACAGTGAATTTGTCTATCTTTGACTACTGTGTCCCATCTAACTATGACATAGAAGCCATATTTGCACAGGAATATTCCAGGCATGCCAGAAAGATCCTTATTAAAAGGATCCCTCTACTTCAACTGAAGTTTGCAGATACTGTATTACGGTATGACTACAGTCCAAGTCATACATGAATCACAGCCATAGAGTTCTGAAGCAGAATTACTCTTTCCCCCCCATTGCTTCACAATAAATATCATTCTCAAATCTTTCAGTGTGTTCAGATATACATTATTTGTGCCAGTTACCTTTGTTAGCACACATGCAGAGACAGATGGAGACATGCTGAGGCCCTACAGCTATATCAGCTTTAAGAACTCCATGGCATCAGGCCTCCATTTATTATAATTATTCTTTTTGTATTTGGAGGCTTTTCATAATCCGAGGCCCAAAACGATACCTTAGTTTGTACATAACTCCAGCACAGTATAAATACAACTTTCAAGTAACTGACACTCTCCTAGACTGATCTTGATTTCTGGCCCATGTAAATTGCCTTCCAGTTGTAGATTATATATGCGACAGATTTGTTTTATCTCTTACAGTTGTAGAGATCATCTTTAAAATGAGTGGCAAATTTCTGACAAAACTGCAGGGTTGCCCCTCACAGGATTAGGTCTCACTCTAATACAATGTATTTTCAATGTATTATGCATTAAACATATTTTACCTCCCCTGCCTCCTTTAAAAGGACCAAAGGTGGCTTATATCATTAAAAGGCAATATTTAAAGCTAAAAACTGTAAGTATAAAAATACTAAAAAGGATCAAATCCCACACTACAACACGGTAAAACAAAACAACAACAAAAACACATTGAAAACAGTAAAGTGCAACAATCCAGGCCCAACAACTCATTTGACAAACCCACTCCGGCAGCCAGTCCATGAGGGAAAGCTTCACCTGCTTTCAGACATGCAGATAGCCAGTCTGGCGTAGTGGAGAGAGTGACAGACTAGGACTCAGGAGGCCTGGGTTCAAATCCCCATTCAGCTGTGGAAACCGGTGAAAGTAGTAAAACCATTCCTTAAATATCTCATTTACCTTGAAAGCCCTATTACGGTCACTCTAAGTCAGTTCCAACCTGAGGGCATACAACAGCATAGGCATGCAGGGAAAAACAGATACCTAAATTAGTTCACGCGTCTACAGGAGAGTAGAGGCCAAATCTCTGTGCATGTGTTTCTACTCTTAACACATGAAGCAGACATTATAAACCACAGGAAGTAATAGCAAGGCTTCCGAAGTTCAATAGGTGGGACTTCTACCTGCAGAATCCCTTCCTCCTTGTGTGCTGTCCCTTGCGTGTCCCTTCACACACACATTTTGAATCATACAGTATACTCTGAACCCAAAACCCTCCTGAAAGAGCCCTGAATAAGATAAGCTACATTTCAAAATGAAGGCAAATCCCTCACAACCAGCCTAGATCTCTCCCCTTACAGAATGTGCATGCACGCCCATGTGTGTGTGTGTGAGTGTGTGACTTTTGGTTTGACAACTCAGCGTTGTGAGACTTTCTATGTCTCTCTTTCAGCTTTTCCTTTGCCAGTTTTCTTCCTGCGCAGCAAAGAACTTTGAATTTTCCAGACCAGCTAAGCGCACAGAGGATAAAAGGGAGCACGCTCGACAGCCTTCCTCCTCCTCCTCCCTCTCAGCAGAGTCCCACCGTGCGATTCCAAGCGCCTGGCATTAATGAAAGGGCTGCCCCTCTACTCACCTGAGTAGGATGTCTTTCTCATGCTGCCCTCGGCCCAGCTGTTTCATAGGAAGAGAGTAAAAGTTCCTCCCAGCTACTCCCTGCAAACAATCCCCAGGGAGCTGCTTTAAGTAAACCTTTTTTTGTTCCAGCAGGGATAGGGCGCTCCTCCACATTACACGAAGGCACACAGACACGGTTGCAGCTGAGGAGGGAGTCCACCGCACTCCCATTAATTAGAACACACCTTTCCTCATCTGATATACACTTGGGGGTTGTTCCAACTAGGCTCAAGCAGAGGGAGGGAGGGAAGGAGGGAGGGAGGAGGAGGAGGAAGAGAGTTCAGCTGCAACCGCAGCCGCACTTTAACCTTTTCCCCTCTGCCAGCAAATTAGGCCCGGCCCACGTTCCTGCTCATTGCAGGCCTCACAGATTCCCTGCCCATTCAACCTGGGTTTACCGAGGAAGGTTTTTCGGACTTCCCTCCCAGTAAGCCTCATACATACACCCACTTGCGTTCTGCCTCACTTCCTTCTCCTCTCGTTCAGGATAGGTCGGGTCCAGAGGCAAGTAGGTGCTGGTTCAAAGTACACCCTGGCTTGCCAGGCTGTGTGTGTAGGGTAAACACAGCGAGCTCCTCATGCCCGGCTTTGAAAGGCACACAGAAGGGAAAGGCTGACTCAAGGCTGCGGATTATGCAAAAGGATTTTGCTTGGATTCCTCCTGGAGCAGCTGGGCGTGATGGTTCATGGCCTGGTCATGCCCAGGGACTATTCCAAATGACCTGTTGAGTCTCCATACAGAACAGCACTAACATGGGGGGTCTCAGCTAAAGGCGGCTTTAAGTCTGGGTGCTGCCTGGCACATTGGGACCAGAAATCCCAGCAAAAAATGGAAAATACATACTTTATAACATGTTACTAAGTAGGCTGAATCAGTTGCTATGGTACAACACTGCTCAGCACTTGCAAACGCAAGTCTAGGGAGTCAATCCATCTCGTATTTGGTCTTCCTCTTTTCCTACTGGCTTCAACCTTTTCCAGCTTTATTGTCTTTTCCAGAGAATCCTGCCTTCTCATGATGGACCCAGAGTATCATCATTTTTGCCTCCAGAGATAGTTCGGTCTTGATTTGATTCATCTTTCTGGAAGTCCAAGGTATCCACAGAGCTCTCCTGTCCAGCATCACGTTTCAAATGAATCAATTTCTTTCCTGCCAGGTTGCTTAACTGTCCAGCTTTCATGCCCGTACACGATGACTGGAAAGAGTGGGGATGAGTCACTGGGGACTGTGGAAAAGAGGGTGGAATAGCAATACTTTCTGCCTGAGAGCCTTTCCCTCTACCATGGAAGGGGAAGAAAGCCCAAGTCCAAAAGGGAGAAGGAGAAGGTAAGGGGATCGAGAAAAGGGCAGGAAAACTGTACCAGGGGAGGGAAGGGAAGAAGGAGAGCAATATAAATAGAGAGAGAAGGGAGAGAGAAGACTAAGGCCCTTGTCACACGAGGGAAATGTTCTCTGGTTCTTCCGATACTTTCCATACAACTGTTGTATTGATTCACGGTCATGTGGTATATATGCCGGGGTGAATATCCCAGCAACTTTTAGTGGTGCTGATTAATGTCCCCCTGTTTGAATCATGAATTATGACCAGCTACACCATGGTACTGGTTTATTTTATTTTTCTCTTTCAATGCATCAGTATATCAGGAAGGGGATAGTTTTGGGAAGTGTCCTCTGTTGTGCTGGCTGCTCCTGCAGAATCGCATTGCACATAACACTGGACTGCTGTCTATGGCACACGTGTGGTGGTAAGGGCGGCAGCTGCTGCCTAGGCAGACATGCAAACTGGCATCTATTCACAGGCTGTGGGGGAAAAAAAGAAAATAAATCCTCACAGCAATCACCCTCCCCCGGGCATATTTTTACCAACATATCAATGTACCGGCTTGGGGGGGGATTAATATGCATGCAGCAGAATTGGTGGCCATGTTCCTGGCTTCGATTCTGAAAAGAAGCAGGGCAGGTTTTGCACATAGGCAAGCCCAGTAAGGAATGCACTGGTACAACAGAGGTACAACACAACACAACCCTCCCAGCGAGGGGGAAATGTTTCCCACTTATACCACTGGCTGGAAAATGTTTCAATCTTGACTGTGCATTGTGTTCTTGGGGGAAAAAACAACAACGAACTAACTGGGGGATAGACTGGGGAAAAAAACAACGAACTAACTGGGGGATAACTAGAGAACATTTCCTTTATGTGACCAGGGCCTGAGAGAGGAAAGGAGGTGGAGGCTGGTACTGTAGAGGTGAAGAAGGACAAGTATTGCTAGAGGAATGGATTTAGTACTAGATGGAGAATCCATGGACACATAAATGGGAGAAGCTATTGCTACCCAGGGAAGAGGCAGAAAAGAAGCAAAACTACCAACCACCCAGGAAACCTGCCTACAGGGGTGAATGAGAAAGTAGGAAGTGGAGCTGAAAGATCAGGGAAGGAAAGGCCCAGAATGAGACGGGAAAGAGGGATAGAGCAGAATGGAAGAACCCCCATCACAGCAAAACCTGTCACCCACAAGATGGTGGGGAACAGCCTCACCAGATAGGAACACAGATAGGGGGAGTGTTCTGGGGTGCTGAGACCATTGCCCCTGTTGTACATGCCAGGGGACCCCTGCAAGGCATTAAACTGGAGAACCCATGGACCCATAAAGTCTAATTCAAGGTTCCAAAAGAGTGGAGGACTTGGTGAACTGTTTTGTGATTCGGCTCATTTTTCTGGGAGTTCATGGTTAACCACAAACCAACATGAACCACTGGTTTTCCAATTCATGCCTATCTCTAGTCACATGCCACAGCATTAGAATCCCTAGAAGGAACACATGCATGTACAAATGCACAGCCATACCTCCCCTTCTTCCAGTCCTAAGCAGGCAGCAAAACAAAGAGGTTTATCAGACCCCTTCGTAGATCATCATAACCACTTGCACATCTGCTCAAAGAGCTGTTCTCTGCTAATTATGGAGAAAACCATGGGACACAAGGAAGAGGCAATTGTTCAAGACGTCTCCTGGGTCAGCAAGATAGACCAATGAGGTGCAAAATGTGGAAGGCTGCTTGTATCTGCAACAATAACGTAGAAGTGGTAAATTTGGCTAATGCAGCTTGTCACCTGCAGCAAATGTACGGATAGACTGTATATGATGTGCAAAATGTAGAATGCCAATCCCCAGATTTGAGACTCCTGTTGTCCTTGGACTACCAAAAGTTCTAGCTAGCATTGCCAATGACTAGGAAGTCTGGAAGTTATGGCTCAAGAACATCTGGGGCTCCAGGTTTGGGAGCATCTGGTCTAGAGTGCTCAGGAAGAGGACAGGCCTGGTCAACAATAGCACATGGCCCATAGATATTGCAAAAGCATACTAAACAAACACTCTGTATGCACTCCAATGCATCCTCCAGCTTTGGAAATATTTGACATGCATAGTTGTTGGACTATAGAGCAAAGGGAGTTGTACAGTCATGCTCTTGAGGCAGAACTGACAAAGCCTTCACGTAGAACATTGCTGGACAAGTGTATATTTCTGCATATGCAGCTTCTCCTTCAATGGTAAGAATGCTTTCTGAAATTCTTCTTTCTTCATAATTATGAAAGGTTCAGGAGCCTCATCCTCTTGGGATGCATGGAATCAACTGGTGCAGATTCCCTCTTGCAAACAGGGCTGCAGGGAATGCTCATAAGTCATTGTCCAAGGTCAAGGAGCTTCTTCCCAATTAAGGGGTTAGCAAACTTAAAGACAGATGCTGATATTTACAACGGTATAAAACCTAGCTTGAATCATTGTATGTGGGTGAGCCATAGGTTCTCAGGGCACAGGCTGAAGCCTCAGGTAAGTGCTATGCTTCTTCAGATCTCAAGATGGAGAGGCAAATGCCACACTGAGCTACACTGGAGAAGCAGACAGTTTGATTTTTGTGCATGAAAGATGGGTTTAAAGTCTGGACATGCAATTTCCACTAGCACCAGGACTAACTGGCTCAATATGAAGACACTTATGTGGCTAATATTTCTCCAAATGGCATGCTGGGCCCAAGATCATGCATGAAGCCACCAGCTTTCTTCACAGTCTTTCCCCCTTGCTTCTGGCTTTAGGTGCATTCACATCAGATTCATCCTTCTGTTTGGAGCAGGGCAGGGAGAAGACTTCTGAGTCTTCTTGTTGCACAAGCCTTTGCAGCAAATTCTCCTCACTTCCAACGCTTGCTGTACTCATATGTGTGACATCCACAAGTGTCTACTTCTGGTTTCAGATTCTGGCCCTGAAATATCAGGGAATGGAATGATACTGATTTGACAGTCCTAGCAAAGCAGTCAGGCTCTCCTTCAAGACACCCTCTCCCCCCCCGCCACCACCACCCAAATTCTATAGAAGAATTATTCTTATTACTACTAAGGTAGGTCAGGAGCCTGGCAAACTTTTTTTTCTACTGGGGAACAAACAAAAATGTAGGAATCTAAAAATTCAGAAGAGATTTGAAAATGAAAGAGAGGAAGTGATCACATGGCAAAGATCCTTTCCCTTTGGCTGCTTGTCAGAACTGTCAAACAATCTGGCACTTTTCCTAGAGAAGGAAAGTTAATGTTCAACATAATTCAGATCCCACAGGCCTCAAACTAAGCAAATCTTGTGTGTCTGTGCTTGTGCATGTGTACATGCATGTAAGATAAGTGAAGGAATTTACAGTTCATTAGAGAAGTAGGAGTCAAAGAAATGCCAGGAACCAAATAGAGTGCAGGGAAGCGAGGTGTCAGCCTTCCTCATATGCCGCGAGCCTGCTAAAATATTTCCAGTCCAGCCTGGTTTCTCTCTCATATAGAACAATCAGTGCTTTTGCTCTTCTTTCCCAGGACCCTCAGCTTTCCTAGTTTGGATCCCACGTCCGCATCTCTCTAATAAAACACATGTCTCCCTGCATTTTGTATGGCAGTTTGCATTTTCTGTGACTTTCACAGTTTGTGTGGTAGGCAAAAGTTCAATTGGTAAAACATTTATTTTCTAGACTAATGATGGAATAATGGGGAAAGCTGCAAGTGTTTCATTTCTGCCTGTCATGTAGATATTAAAGGCAAGGGTGTCCAGAGAAGTATCAAATATAAGGGGAAGTAAAAAATCAGGAAAAGGCTGTGTGGTCCCCAAAACAATAGAAATGCAGTAACAGGTGATACCTATATTGGACTACAAAAAAAAGCAAGGTTTTGATGATCATACATCTCCCCTGACA